GCAGCTTCCAAAACCCGTCGCACTTTCAGTAAGATGCGCTAACGTTACGTCATCTTAAACAGCTTTGCTCTACACGACACTGACCCTCTCTCTCCTCACTCAGCAGCGCTCGTTAGCTCGTTAGTTTGTTAGCTCGTTTTACAAAATCGAGATATTGGAGCATTAATAATATTCACCTGTGATTGAAATGCTGACCTTTGACCTTTGTCAACAACGGAGAAAAACTTTATTCATCTCACAGCGTGCCGTTTACTGACGAACCTCTGAGTGTTGATTTGAGTCAACAGCTCGTTAATACAAAGCACCACACTTCAGTTTGTCCACCTTCAAAATGAAAGCTCCACACTTCAATTTGACCACCTTCAAATAAAAGCTCCACACCAATTTGACCACCTTCAAAATAAAGCACCACACTAAATTTAACCACCTTCAAAATAAAAGCACCACACTTCAGTTTGACCACTTTCAAAATAAAAGCACCACACTTCAGTTTGACCACCTTCAAAATAAAAGCACCACACTTCAATTTGACCCACCACAGATCCGCGAGGAAACGAGGCAGAGAGAGGAAACGAGGAAATATATTTGAAGAGACACGAGATGTTCTTTCCGTTAGTCAGCTAACTGTCCATGTTCTTCTATTTCCTGTCAGTAGGAACTTCTCCTCGTGTCTCACTGCTGTTTTTATAGACGCATCATAATTTAAAATATGACATAACGACATTATGAGCGGACTGCATGTTCGTCAAGCCGCTAAGTCAAACCGTCACATGTGCAGCTCCTCAGAGACCGTCAGCGAAAGAACTGAGACACTGAGTAATGACTTTTATTTTGTTGCTTTTCAGACGGATTCATTTGATCAATGGCAGAAGCCGGCAGCTGCAAACGCTCCGGTCACGAGACTAAACGAAGGGAAACCACACCACTGCAACGTTTTTATTTTGACTTTTCTGACCGCTGCGAGGCTGAAAACCTGCTGAAACCTTCTTCGTTTCTCTGATACTCGCTGTTGATGAATCCCTTCACAGAGACAAACCTCTTTTTACTAAACACAATAATATGCAAATTCTCTGCTGCATGAGAGAGTAAAATACATAAACAAGTGATTATGAGTAAAATACATAAACAAGTGATTCCTGTTTCAATTATTCACTTTCTGTTTCTGTTTCAGTCAGTAAACCAGATGGCCTCAGTTCAGTGACTGCAAGGTCACAATTTTACATTTTAAAGACATAGTGATTATGTCCCCCATGAACAGAGACTGCAGTCCTCGAGCAGCGGCCAGGGGTTTGAATCCGACCTTGGTGCTTTGCTGCATGTCATCCCCCGCTCTCTCCTCACAACATTTCCTGCGTCTCTCTCTTCAGATGTCCTATCCAATAAAGTTTAAAAAATGGCTCAAATAAAACATAGACACACGATCACTCCCTCAAACCCAGCCGGCCTGCTCCGACCTCCACCTAAAGGGCAGAGTTAGACACACTGCTGTCTGTCGATTTGTCGAAAGAATCGTCACTCCCAGTGCGACACCGGTAATGAAGGACAAACACAACATTTTAAATATCTGGTGGTATCAAGAGAGTGATAACAAGGATGTTTTTTTTGCTACTAAGTTCAGCGCTTAGCTCCGCCCCATGGACGACTTTGGAGGTACTGACCTCAGCTGGACGTCTTCCATTATTTCCCTTTGTTTAATGTGTCGCGCTGCTATAGTGTCACACTATTACATCACTGATTCACCTATCGCCATATCGCCATCCAGCTTACACTCCGCTTATCTCGTAAGGGTACGGCTGGCTGTGGAAACGCAAGCGGGTAAAAGACCTTTCTCTTTGTTAAGTTACTAAAGACCTTAGGATAGGGGTCTTTACAGCGAGCACAGCGGCACTTCTACCGCCCGATCACCTCGCTGTAAAGATCACAAAAAGACCAAACAAGTGATGCTGAACAACTTCAACGAGACGCAACAGCCGGTGAGGTCATCACGTGAGAAGTTCATACGACACTCGTTCACACAGCAGCCTTCAGTTACCAAAGGACGCCAGTTAGTCCGCCTCTGTCCTGTGTTAGCTCACCCCATCATCTGGTTTTGGACGGTTACACCTAATCTTATTTTTGGAGACAAATATGGTTTTGAATTTCTGGTTATACTTGCTGGAAAATATTGAACATGTTTGAACATAAATGGATTTGACTGAAACGTTTTACTGCGGTACAGAACGTGTCGCTGTGGTCCTGCTTTTAACGAGACAGGATTAACGGCCTGCTTGTGTCCGTATCGGACCTGAAGGTATCTTTACCGTCCTTCAGTTTGAGCATCGTGTCCTCTGTTGATACGTCTGTGTCTCATGGCACCGCTGTCATCACATCCAACTAAAGTTTTTTGTAAGTAAACCACGAAGCGTCTTCTTGTCGTCACAGCAGGAAACAAACTTTTACATTTCCCTTCCTGGGTTTTGGGGTTGGCAGTATTTAGTCTCGGGCTCCTTGTTCTGTGCAGACATTTGTGACTCTGTCGGCTCTTGATTACTTTTTTAAAGACTATTTTAAGCCTCGAGTGGTTCAGTTTTTAACTTTTGTTGCTAAGCAATGTTGGCCAAAACTCTGCTTATTGGCTAGAGCTGGCACTTTTGCCTGGCAACATTACCTGATTGTGTATTCTGGAGACACTGGCGAGGGCTTCCAGTTGCAAAAAAAAAAAGATTCTGCAAAGATGGCTGTGGCGTCGTGTCTGGTTCGATGGCGCTCTATTAATGATCCCAGATTGTCCCTGAATGCATCGCGATAGAGTTTAGAGATGGAGTGTTTGGCTGATAGAAGCGCTCGTTTCCAGGATGGATGGACTTTGAATAAACTCCAGACAGACGCAGGCCTCTGGTGAGGAGGAGGAAAACCTGCTGCAGAAGGAGGATCCATTAAGAATCTGAAACATGGTTTTAGGGGGAACGTCTGTACAGACAAGCTCAGGCTTTTTTTTTATCACCAGATAATCTGAAACCACCTGGAGAGCTGCTGGCTGTGTGAAATTAACCAGCACTGATTACCAGAAACACCAAAAACCAAAGAGCATAAAATGAAACCACGAGTAAAAACACCATTAACGCCATGTTGGTCTGCTGCGAGGAGCACGCCTCTCTCGTCCTGCAGCATTGAGCCGGCTGCGGCGCCTTTCAGCAAGACACTAAAAGAAATGAACGAGTATGTTTAATTAGCACAACATCTGTATAGGTGAGACAGATGTTTTACAGACGACTGGAGACACTCAGACCGTCCTTCATCTTCTGCCTCCGAGTCCGTCAATCTGAAACACAGAGACTTTAAAGATGACAAAGAAAATCACAAAAAGCATGTAGAGATCAGATTAATTTAAGTGAGTAAATAAAGGAATAAATGATTAATCGCTTCATGTGTTCTATTCATCACTGGACGGTGTGCATCGACATCGACCGTTTATACAAAGAAAAATCAAAGATGGCGGCACCAGATTTAGTGAGTCGCTAATTTCCATCTGAAGTCGTCAAATGACGCAAATGAGACAGTAAAGAAACACACCTGACAACACTACAAGATGCTTCTAACACCGGAAGAATTTAAACCCAAAACAAATTATTAAAATAAAATCCTTTATTTCCTCTCACTGGTATGTGGAGATGTGATTTTTATTCTTTTAAGGAGTCTGAGACGTGCAAACAGAAATATCAAGGAAATTTAAAAAAGATTTATTAATCCCTGCTCGGTGGATTAATGAAAAGTGTAAAAATAAAACCAAACGATTAGACAAGAAAAACACATTTAAATGAAGGGCCGCTTTATCTAGAAAAGATCCTTTCCTTTTTTATTTTTTATTAAGTGTATAATGAGAATTCATTAATGATGATTTTTACGTCTTCATTTATTTAAACATTTTTCAACCACAGAATGCACCGGATAAAATGTTATGAATTAAAATTCCTCCAGGGTGATTTAAAGCTTCTCTCATCGTCTGTTGTTTTTAATGCAAATGTCAGTAAATATTTAATCTTAAAACATCTGAATAATGCTCATAAATAACACTAGGGTGCAGTTCTCCGGTTCCCCTGTAGGTGTCGCCCTCCGTTATCTTTTCACAGCCCTGCGTGTGTGTGGATGTTTCTACATTTCCAGCATCTGATCTGCTGCAACAAACACATTAATCAAAGATACATGAGTGTGATTGTTTGCAGAGAACAATCCTCCGCACCGAGAGGACTTCTCCACCTTCCGTCTTTAAATGTTTAATCCCCGTCGGGAGAAAAGGGTCTCATGTCTTTAAATGCTGCAGGAGCCTGAGCCTGTTTGCGTCAGGTCAGCCAGGATCAAACAGGTGTTCTGAGAAAACCAACACACCGGCGTTTTCACTTCATCACATCATGCATTCATGTTACACTTTCAGGAAGGTTTTTATTTGACTAAGAGGTTGTGAGGAGATATCTTAAAGTAAGACTGAGTCAAAAATATATAGGGAGAGACAGAGACTGTGCTATAAATCAAACTGTAAGTGCAGCCAAGAAAAAAAAAAGCAGAGGCAGCATGGTCGCTCCTCTGCAGAGAAAAGTGGATTTCCGTGTATAAAAGTGATCAAAAGTCAATGAAGAGCACTACAGGTGTGCTGTAGGTGTACATGCACGCATAGGTAGGACGGGTACAGTGGTGTATAGTAGCAGCCTCCCATGCCTTGAGTGGTGAATCTGCAGACCGGTGCAGATCAGGGCTGCAGGAGGGGGACAGGGGGTGTGTGGCTGCAACATGCCTGCGCCTCTCCACCGCAACCCGAGCAGCCGTGCCAGCGTCCGGCTGCAGCACAATCAAACTTTTCTGTACATTTTCACGTCACCTGCACGCGAAACATAAATTTGGCATCCTATGCAAATATATGCTGACGTAAAAGATCATGTGGTTTTTGTCGTCGATCCCCCCTATGAGCAACGAGGAGGTTTTTTTTTTCTCCTCTCTACTGTTGTCTTTAGGTTAGCTATGCTACAATCTTTACTGTACCCAGCGCTAGCTATATGCGCCCCGCACCGCACCACTCTGGATATCTGGGAATAATCAACTTCCAGGCTGTCGCACCCTGCACCCAAAGACCGCTCACAGGTAGGACACAAGGGGAACTTCTTATTTATTTAACTCTTGTTGGGAAATTTTCACCAAAGTGACCGCAAAAGTGAAGTTATTAAAGCGGCTTGGTTGCAGGCAGACTAGCCGCCTGGCTGGCTGGCTGTCTCTGCCCAGACTGCTGCTGCTAGCGCCCGTCCCCTCCATCACAGGCTCTCTGAGGGGGAATCACCTTGCTATCGCCCAGCAAACCTCCACGACAGCCAAACTGGAATTAAAACAGTTATATACCTGGCTGACAGGCAACTTTAGTTGCGGCGCGACTGCTTTGGGTGATATTTGAGGATAGTTGTCTGACAAGTGAATGTCATCCGGTTCAGGTTGTTTTTTTGCGGCGGCCAACTTTTGCCGTCCCCCCTCCACCCCCGGTGAAAGTGCTTTTAATATATTTATTAGCCAGCGGAGCTAGCCGTTAGCCAGTTAGCCCCCTGTCAATGGACCGGGTGAAGCTAAGCGCGTTAGCTTTAGCCTTTCCCCGCACACAGCAGCACGAAACGTGGCTGCCCGTCTCTGGATCTTTCATGTCGGGAAACGCATTTGTTTTGGCTGGCTCCCCCTCTCCCCGTCTTCCCCTCCAGACTCAGCGTTACTCCGCCGTGCCGTGTGGACAACAATCCCGGTGTCATTTTTTTGGTGACACGGTTACGGCAGAGCGGGTGACAGCTTGTTTGGTAGTGTCGGTTCAAGTGTTGTTGTTGCCCGCTGTATGTGAGGTTCAAACGGGGCGAGCTAGCAGACAGTCAGTCTGGCTGCCTGGGTCATCTGAGGTGAAGCCGCCGTCAGCGGGCTGTATAGAAACTCACTGCCTGCTTACGGTACACTGGTTTCCACTTCAATAAACCGGTAGATCTCATCATTTACACTGGTTTGACTATTTAAACGCGCTGTTTATTCTTATTTTAACGTAGATACGTAGATAACATACCATAATACGAGCCGCCGTTTAGTTTGAAATGAAACAGTTTTACAGTCAAACTAACCGTTGGTTTATCGATTTAAAATCAGTCACTTTTTCATGTCGAGATTAAAAACACGACGAAGTTTGTTTCATGACGTTATTTAACTCGTTTAATGTGATATACGTTCAAACCAAGTGTCGTGGATTTGGTTGCCTGTTTGGTGAACAGACGTTGACTTGGTGCCAGTTAATTGCAGGCTGGTTTCAGACTGGTTTCAGACTGGTTTAGTGAGTAAAAAGCGGACAGTTTACGGTAGCCTAACGTGGCTTCAAATTTTTAAACATAAAGAAAAGAGCGCACGTAGTGGGAGAGAGACTGGATTTAAACTGGTTTGTAAAGATATTAATAAGGTGTGTTACTGGGTTTACTCATTAACAGTCGACCTACACACATTTTAATGTAAAGAATATATTACTAAGTATTACAGACTGGCTTTAAACTGTATCCCAGTATAAGACCAGTTTGAACTGGTTCACTCATAAACAGGCTGCTGGTAACAGAATTCTGAAAAGTTTGGCTGATTGTTTCATTTGATTGAAATGGTTTCAGTGTTTATATGAACTGGTTCTCTATAGGAACCATTATAACTGGTTTATTTAATAAAAAAAAAAAGAGAATTCATCCTAACTTTGGATTGTTTGTACTGGTTTGAATGGAAACCATTAGTGTTTGTGGGCTCATTTTAAAGCACTGTTTGGTAGTTTTATTAGTTTGAAGCTCATTTATAATCAGTTATTTATTCTTCTGTTCTATTCTATTTATTCGACTGTCATCAGGATGATTTAGCCTTTTATATCTTTAATGATTAATTGTTTAAATATAATATTTCGTCTGTGTGTGAGGACATTTTAAGTTTATTTCGGGAGCTCTTTCCGCGTGATAAAACTTTTCCTTTTTTCTGAGTTCACCCGTTTCATACTTGGTTTATTCCCTGACCCAATTTACTTCTCAAATCATGTTACATAAAATCATGAATAATTAGGCACGCCTCGCAAGCCTGCCTAGGGCCATATGCAGAGCTGAGAGGGCGTATGAAAAAACAAAAAACCCTGATAACCTCTAACCCGGGTCAGAAAAGTGCGTTCTGTTGGACGCGGTTTCTTGAGTTTGTGTGATTGTCTGCGGTTTGATTGTCGCTCGCAGGACGTGCAGAGGGGGAGCTTTCTGTCCGGCTTACAGGAACAGGTGTGTAAACTGAATTTGGGCAGGTTTCACCCTCCACCACATCCCTGACAGTGTGACGGGAGTGTGTCTTGGCACTCTGAAAACAGCAGAGAGGCTCGTGTTTGGCAGCGGCTCCTCCTCTTCCTTTTTCCTTCTATACTGCCCGGTGACAGCGTTAACATCCACCTCCTCCACTGCTCTCCTTCAAAAGTGTGTCAGATTTTTGAATATTATCTCCCTCTCCTCTGTTCTGGTTCATAATCACATTTCCTTTTCCATTGACCGACTTTTTTTGTCTCATATTTCACCGCTATTGTACCGCCGCCGTGTCAGCCTTTTTAATCCTATGATATGGATGCAGGGATCAGTCAGTCATGCTGCCAGTCTCCCAATCAGAGCGCGCTCGCCTGCTCCCTGCCTGCTATTTATTTGTCACAAACGCCAACACACACAGCTCTCGTGCACTTTCCCTTCCTCGCCGGGAGACCTCTACACACACACACACACACACACACACACACACACACACACACACACACACACACACACACACACACACACACACACACACACACACACACACACACACACACACACACGCTCGCTCGCTCTTTCCTCTTCCTTCTCTGACACGCTGTATTTCTTTGACACACTCTCTCACATATTTCGCCGGTTCCTAGGAAGTGCAGCTGTGATTTGCTGTTACCACCTGACCTGTCACCCCAATGCACAACACACACACACACACAGCTTTTATTTCACCGTTTAGACTGTTCACATCATTGGTTTTTATCGCCTGAAAATTGCCGCTCCACGCATGTTTTTTTTTATTATTTGTGGCGATTGAAATGGACCCCATTCTGAGTTTGTGTTGCCCCCGGTGGCATTCAGTCATGAAGGGTTTGTGGCAGCTATACGAGCCGGAACAAACACACACACACACACACACACACACACACACACACACACACACACACACACACACACACTCACACTCTTTGTTGCTCTGTCAAGCTGCTAGTTATTTCACACGTGCACAAACATGCAGAAAGCATGCATGACAGCTGCATGACACACACACACATTCAGAGTGTTTCATCCTTACTTTAGCTTTTATTTCAGGCACACACACACACACACACACACACACACACACACACACACACACGTTTTCAGGGCTATTGGTGCTTTATGAAATAGTGAGAGGCTGTATGTGTGGGTGTGTGTTTGGAAAAGAGAGTACGAGTGTGCCAGGTTGTGTGTGAGTGAGTGAAGTGGCGGTGATTTCGTGTGTGTGTGTGGTGAGTCATTAGAGAGCCTGGGCTGGTCTGAATGTGTGTGTGTGTGTAGATGTGTGTGTGTGTGTCATAACGTTTGCCCTGCCTCCTCTCAGCTGCAGCTCTTCATGGGGAAACTCGACACACACACACGCGGCTGTATCGGAGCTGCTGTTGGATCAAACCGACTGTCGACTCTGAGGCCTTTTGGAGGGGGGGGGATCCCCATTTGACCAGTCGTAACACTGCGACTCCCCCACATATTCAACGCTCGTATTGTTGTGTTGCATCATCACCTCTGATCACTTCTCATTTCTTTGATTTGCAAACCTGCAGAAACAACGTTGTCTCTGCACAAATGTTTCACCACACGACGATGGGCGGCATTTACAAAGTCGTGTAAATAGTCATTACCAGAGCCGTTTATGACCGTGATGTTAAAATATGAGCACCAACACTGAGATGTGAACACCTTCACTTTCTTCTTCTTGCCTCTCTTTCTAATGCTCCTTCTCTCAAATACTGAGAGTTTCAAATCAAACACACCAGCTGATCGTTGTGATTCTTTTCATTCAGTGTTCGCGTCACAAACCTTCTGTTGGTTAGTCGTCATAACGCCAGAAAATTTGTAGTTCAAATCTAATGTTTTTAAAGGTTCACTTCATGCCTTCACTTAGAAACAGGACGGTAGATGCAGAGAGGAGGGGAGAGAGCGTTTGAAAAAGCGTGCGTCCAGCGTCTTTTTTTCCGAGCGTTCCGCCTTTTTTTGTGCGGCCGCTCCGAGCGCTTAAGTTACAAAAATCTTTCAACTTTCCAGAAAGGCGCTGTTGACATCACCGGCGCCCTTTTCTTAATGTTTGATATTCCTCATAGTTTGCAGCCTACTGATCGCGTCTTGTACCCACATCCTCCTCGCTCCGTGTCTGATCGGGAAATAAACGATCTCAAATATCAAACATGCAGTGAAAAGTAACGGAGCAGTGTCGGTCGTACAACGGACGATGTTAACAGACTGTTGTCAGGACGAGCAGCGCTTTACTGCGTGGAAACAACGCCAGGTGGACTAGGGGCGTTAGAATAAACCTCTTCAAAGTATATCAAGAATGATCGATGTGTTTCTCTGATCGTCTGTGAGGACTGAAGAGTCCAATCAGCTGCTGACAGAGTTCCTCTGTTTGATGTGTGATTCATTAATAATTAATAATCATCATTAAACTGAAACCTGATATTTATAAATGATTGTCGGTTATGTTAATGTTTGTGGTCAGCACACTGCTTCAGAGGATTTTCTAATTTCTAAGAATAATGGAGGGAAACTGAATTCTTGTAATAGTTTTCATTCTTTATTGGCAGGAGGGGGGCGAGTTCGAGAATATGAAATACTCGACAAACAGTCTGAAAATAAAAGTGTTGACCTCGTGGAGAAACGAGTGCAGGTCAAACCCCAAAACAGAGATGATGATTTCTCTTAATGTAAATCCTAATTTAGATCTCAAATTAAATCTGTGCAGGGATAAAAAAAAAATTAAAAACAAAGACAGGAAGAATAAAGAGAATGCAAATGAGTCGTTCTTACGGA